CGCCGCTCCGTCTCCGGAGAGGATAGGGATGACTAACGACCCGGTATAAGACTGCGTAGCTCACCACTTTGCTAAATTATATAAATCACATCCCCTTCGTCAAGGGCTCTTACGCGAGACACTTAATCCACCTCTGGTCCCTCCCACCCTACCTCCGTCGTGCGCCCCCCCCCCCTTCCGAGTTTCCGCGCCTCCTCCACGTCGGCAACACCTCGAGGAGCCCGTAGTACCGTAGTTACTTTACATTAAGCGACCATTAATTAAATCGTATGGCCGTTAATTATCCGAGCGTCTCTCGTAACTCGCGGCGATGCTTGCGGCCGCTCTATACGGCGCGCCGAGAAAGTTTTTCGCTTCGGGGCATCTTCTCTCCCGTTCATCCTTCGGGATAATTATCCCTTCCCCCCCCCTTTTTCGCGAGGCATTTACATTTTTGTAATATCGAGCCAAATCATTATACCCGCGCATTTAATATATTAACGATCAAAAAAAAAGTTGATAAAATGGACGAGAGCGAGCCAAAAAGTGATCTATAGATATTACATTCAGAATAGCTGTCTTACTTTTTGCTGCGATTCTTATATACGTTATTAATCAATTTCCATGTAAAATTGAGAACATCTTACGAATCGTGTATTATCGTGTTTCGATTTCGTTCGCTAATGAAGGAGAACGGTATTGAGTGCAAATGCATGAGAGTCGAGGAGAGCCGGGTGAATTGCGTTTTTATCGTGGAATATTCTGCGGTGTCGCTCACCCACCGGGTAACAGAACGACCGTGTGACGATTTATCCGGAAACGGAGGCAAAAAACGAGAGACTATACGCGCTCCGCGAGTATATAGTCCACATACGTGCGCGTTTGCACCATCGGCGCCATCGCCATGCGGCATTGCGTACGGCGGCGTACGGCGCTTTAATCAATTAGCGCATATCCGCGTAATCCAATCTGAGCCCTAGGCAGGGTGTGCGGCCCGCATCCATATGTACAGCGGCGGTTTAAAACCACCCTCCCTCCCGTTCGCCAAAATAACTCGCGCGGTTTTCGACGCCCCTCGTCCGCGCGGCATTGTTAGCATAACCCACGGTGGCGCAACACATACGCGCGTTGTCGCAGTCATTAACTCGAACGTGCCAGCCGTTTATTCCCCCGTATATGTACCCAGTAGGAGCCGGTATAGGGACGAGAATCGACATCGTTTGAATTTATCGGTTATCCCTCTCTCATTTTTCATAAGCACTTGCTCGCTGAAAGGAGAACGAGAGTGAATTAGTACATGATTGTACGTATATTACAGTCCTACGCTCCTGTGCAATTTAATTTTGTACATATACATATCATTATTGCGATTCAGTAAATTATGCGCATAATAATTGCGATAACGCTTTTTGGCATTTACTGTTAAATCTTGCATGAATTCGCGAACGAAGTTAAATTGGTTTAAGTATTTTCAAAGCAACTCGCCTCCTTCTTTCCCTCTCAGTAAAACTGAATAAAGAAAGAGCAGTTGTCGCAACACACTAAATTGCGCTGATCGTTGACGTTAACTCGCGGTAATCGAGATTCTGGGAATTCCGTCGTATTTCCCAAATCCCATAACACGTTTCTCTAAACAACCCTCCTGGCCGGACTACCCCGAGTATATCCCGAGCCTCTCGATCCGAGGTGCAAAGTCGTAGTTGCCGAACGTTATCCGCGATACCTCGTGGAGATCGAGACGGCGAGAGGGATTCTGCGGGACGAAGAAGGGAGGAGGGAGGGGGGGGAGAGCAGAGATAACCGAACCCTGCTACTGGAAAACCCAAAGCAATCACACTCGGACGCGAGGGGTCACTAATTCAATTACTAAGAGCGCTGCCCTCTTGGCCTGATCCAGTTAAGCCACCCCCATCCCCCTCCCCCGAAGAGCTACCCCCGGATCGACCGCCACCTTGGCTATACTATTTTTCTCCCTCCAAAAGCCGAGCCGAGATATCACGGCCATTAGACGTATAAAAGCGTCGTCGTGTCCCACGCACAGCCGCTGCATATGGTACACGGCCCCATAAATACGCAAGAAGCAAGCAGGGGGGCTTTAAGGCGTACAATCACTTATTGCTTAATGAAGCAAAGTGGCCCGCGTGCCGGCTGGTACCCTCCGAGAAGTTTAACCCCTTGTCGCATAATTCTTTTCGAATTTCAGAGTAAACGGACACGAACGGGAAAAATTAGACCGTTAAAAAGAGAGATACTGAATTAACTAAATGATTAAATAATTGAAAAATGATCTTTTGCAGCGTCGCGCGAACGACGCTGCAAAAGATCATTTTTCAATTATTTAATCATTTAGTTAATTCAGTATCTCTCTTTTTAACGGTCTAATTTTAAAAAAAACTTAATTCTTAAGCTTAAACATTTACAGCTTGTGTCTCGTTTTCCCAAATTAGCATTCTGATCTTGACGCTTTCTCGTTTATTTGCGCGAATATTTTTTTGTGAAGGTTACAATTTATTATTTTTGTATCGCGAGAACGGGCATAACATTTTGGCGAGAAGTTCGAACTTAAATACGAAGGGAGTTCTCTCTCTCTCTCTCTCTCCCTCTCTCACACATTTTTCCTAAAGTAGCGGCCGCGCACCCTTCGCTATCATACTTCAGGAAACTCGCGCCCCAAGTGCCATAAATATACGTACGAGCGCGCGGGCCTTTGACCGGCGGTCAAGCACCAACACTTACGGCAATCGCGGAAAAACACGCGCGACTGAAGACCGATGGGCGCGCACGCCACGCTAAATCGTCGGGAGAGGCGAAATGTGCTTCGGAGTATCGTATCGCCGGAAGTGCTCGTTTCTGAAAAGCTGCAAGACTCGTGATGGTATCATCTGTAGGACTTGAGAAAGTTTACGTGTGAACGCCTTGCGCACGTGTTTCACATTAATATGCAAATATCCTATCGGATTAGAAAGAAACAACGATGATATACCAATCGATTATAAATTCCTGTATTAAAATTATTATAATTTCGTGAAATGGAGCTTCGTATATTTCTGATCTACTTGTGTCAGTATAAAATGAAGTAAGCATTTAAATCAAACTTTGATTAACTTTATCCGTATATTGATAATCTCACTCCATTTTCCTCATCGTCAAATCTAAATTTGCCAAAGTTCAAACTATAATCAAAAAACAATCGTCTTCGAACGACACTGTGATAAATGTCGATCGTTACCGAAAGTAACTGCAATTTAATCTTTGCGTACGTGAGCGGTACGACGATTTAATTAATGTAACGTAAGAGGATCGTACGAAAGCGATCACAGCGGACGCAAGGTGCATTAATATTTATTGCTTCACGCCCTTTCTGGTACGCCGAATGTCCCCCGGCCGGCGGCTCCTGGGCGAATATTTACGGTTTTACTTTCGCGGCCGCGATGGCTGCCGGCCGGGTAGATTGCTTTTTGATTTGCGCTTAATCGGAAAAAGTTATGGGCCCTCGAGAGATAGGCGAGCTGCCGGTGCTGCTGCTGCTCTGCAGAGCAGCAGCAGCAGCACCACCACCACCACCATCACCAGCCACCGCCGCGCTTCTCGTCGCTCCCCCCGTTCGAGGGGGGGCGTACACACAACTAACGCGGCGGGCCGCATATTAAACCATAAATTCATGGCGCCGCGTTCTATCCGCTCGACTCGCCCCGAGTTATCGCGCGGGGAAGCGTGCGTGGCGTTACTTCAATGCCGCAAGCTTTTTATAACGTGATCGTCGTCGATTCGATCCTTCCGTTCTCCTCGCCTCGTTTGTTTGCCCGTTTCCATTCGCTCTCTCTCTCTTTCTCTCTCTCTCTCTCTCTCTCTCTCTCTCTCTCTCTCTCGACACTCGCGCGTACAATAGTTTTGTCGCACCGTCAACTAATTATCCTCTGGCCAATTACTGCAAAATTAATTTGTAGAATTTAGCAGACTCGTTCGGAAGCGACGTTTAAGGTGGAAACAACATTGAGGCAAGTGATCGTCAGCGAATGACAGACAGACAGAAATCGTACAAAAATCGAATATTTTTTTATTGAAAGATAAATTACATTGTTAAATCTATAGTGATAAACTGAACCTTATTTAAGCCACTACTCCTACTTAATAAATATAGTTATTTTTAAATAAAACAATGGAATTTAACCCAAATTTGGGTTAAATTTGAACTGTTTTAAATTATTAATTAACTCTATTGTTTTAGTAAAAAAGAACTATTTATTAAGTAGGAGCAGTGGTGACTTAAATAAGGTCCAGTTTGACACTATACATTTAACAGTGTATAGAAGATTCTATTGAAATTAAATTACAAAGATTTTAATAGAAAAGTGTCAAAGATATTAATATCAATAATTTGATCTCTGAGTTTTTAAGCAATGAATAGCAGCGAACTTTCAATCTTTTGGAGGAAATAAGAGTGTTATACAGTGGAAAAAACAATAAGTGTTCTTTTTTTCAAGTGATTCTTTTTAGGGAGATTTTTCACATAAAAAAACGACTTACATGCAGTTTATCCCAAGGTTTTAAACGCCAGAACATGTTAACATCATCCAAGAATAATCCTCGCGAATCGATTCCTGTGAGAGTGGTTTACTTTTGTTAAAAGCACTTTCCGTTCGTCTAAAGAAGAACGGCGAGGGAAATCGATGTAATTTCATCTTTCAGTGCTCGGCGAAGCGAGTGTTTTATCGAAGATGACTCGGCTCGTGAGCGAAATCGCCGATCGGGTCGCCGATCGTTACATTGCGAACGGTCAGCTATTTCCCAATCACTTGTGAGCTTTATTGGACGACGGCCTGAATTATAAACGAAGAACGAATCCCTCCGGCGCCGCGACTTCGATGCCGCCACTAGGAGGTTCCCGACCTTCCCGCACTCGTTCGCACGGCAATCGCAAACGGGCTAGCCGTAAGGAACGTCGATCAGACGAAATCAAAGTTGACACCCACCGCACGTTGGGCCAGGGCAGGCATAAAACGGAACGAAAGTCTGGGAGAAAACGGATTTTGGGGTTTCAATTTAATAGAACAATTCTGAATACGATAAAGAAATATCTAGAATAGATATATAAAATGTTATGTAAATGTAATCTGCATTAAGTTATATATTATGGTTTAATTAATTGGAATTGATGATTTTATACATTTTTTTTTCTTGTGCACTTTTAGTTTCAATAATTCTTCCAAATCAATATTGTTTCGTGAAAATTACGAAACAATAAAAATTATTTATACTTCGAAACAAGTTTCGCTTTTAATCTGCGAGAGGAAATAAAATTATTTACGAAGTCCCGTGCACGAATAATTTGCTCGATTATAATTAAAAAAAAATTAGCTTTTAATTTAATTTATTTGAACAATTAATCTTTTGCAATTTATTTAATAATTTTAGCTCCTATAATAATTTAATTATTATTTAATTTGATATTGATCGCACAAACTCCAATGAACAATCACTTTAATTTAGGATTATTAAGACTATAGTCATATAAAAATTCTAGTTTCATCTTCGGAAAAACACAATTGCATCATTTTAACGCACAGAAATTTTAGTATAGTAGAGTTACTATTCTTTCACTATTGTACTCACCCTTGATGGAATCCTCTTGACCCTGTGCGCTCGACCTTGTAACCTGCGAGGACACCTTGGCCTGATCGTTGGAGGATACAAGAGTTCTACTGTCATTCGAACTTCGACTTTTCAATTCGACACAATTCTCCGGACTGGGTGATCGATCCCTCGATATGGGCGGCGGCGAGGGGGTACATCCGAGCAGTTTGCGAACCGACAGCTTCAGCTCGGGCGTCTTCAGGGGTGGCAGGCTCTCCGCGGTGTCTCGGATGTCCTTGATCTTGGCCGTGACGGAGAGATCCTCCGGTTGCAGCCGACCTTCCGGCGACGGCGGCTCCTCGACGCTTCCGCTCGTCTCGACGACGCTGGTCGTGGTCTCTTGCCCCGCTTCATCTAAACAAGGTTTCTCCTGTATTCGTCTGTCGCGCGGGACCATCCTGATCGCGAGGTTGTTAAGAACGCGACGAAGACACGTCGGCGATTAGGTCGATTCGTAAGTGTTGAATTGCGATTTTAGCAGCGACGAGCATTCACAAACTTTTGAATGTATACTTTCTGTCATTACATCTAATAATAAGTTACGTAAGAGTCAACTAAAAAAAATAGATTATACATAAATATTGAAAAATAAATATGTACAACTTAATGTCTTCGGCACAACTAATTTTTCTTTAACACATTAACACAAATATAATCCAAGTAATCATGCAGTCTACAATCTGCGAATGTTATTCAAGGAATGCACAAGAATACATAATTTTACATAACTTCCACTATAAATTTCTTCTTAACGAATCTCAGCTCGACATACTCCATCGTCTGCTGATATTGATCACTAATAAGATCAAGCACAAACACATACGAATCGACCTGACTCGCATAGCAGATTTGATCCACCACATCTTTGTGTATTATAATTCATATTTTGAGATCTGTATCATTGAGATCCCATTAAAAAAAAGTACGCGCACACTGCATCGATCGACCCGATATCTCGATCGGTTCGCCTAAATCAATTCAGCACCTAAAGATCGGCATTATCGGACGGATACATCGGAAAAGATTGCTACACGTACGTCGGTCACCATCGTCCACGACGTGATCACCGATGAGATGCGCGACACTGAGCGTGATCCTGCCGCCGACGGCCGCCCTGCAGCCGGCGGCAGCCTCGACGCTCGTCGCGGCCGCCGCCACCGCGGCCGCCGCATTGTCGAAGCTCTTGGAGACGAACTGGGCGAGCTGCTCCATCCTCACGGTTATCGGGGCGACTCTCGCGCGCGACGTCGCGCCTCGGCACCGACGGCACTCGCCGCCGCCGTCGCGAGAGAGAGCCGTCGCCGGGGAGAGACACGTCGACGGGAGGCCACATCCCGACGTCGGCGTCCCGACGCCACGCGTCCACCAGGACGCCATTCGGCCGCCGGCCAATCCGCACGCGGATGGGCGTGATGGAAACGCCCCGCGGTGCCTCTCGTCGCTTCTCCCTCCCTCTCGTCTCGGCCGAGACACGACGCCGGGGCTCTCCGGGTCCCGATCGTCCCCTTCCGGGAGGCAGGCACGATCTACCCCCAAACCGACGCTCATTAGCATTTGCGCCCGCTTTTCCGCCCGCCGCGGAAACGCTCGCGGCGAAACTACCCCTCGCCGCTGGCCGGGGGGGGGGGGTAGGACGCCGCCGCTCGGCGACCATCCTACCGTCACCCCCGCATCACCTTCTCCGCGTCACCGTATGACCGCCAGGGCCGCTGTATTTACCTGGAGGCAGAAACAGGCCGCTGCCGCCGCCGCCGCCGCGGGCACGCGGTAATTAATCCCATGCTTTCCGCGGTCGAAGCTCCTCCTTTTTGTCTGGCCTCGTTATCGGTCGTCGGATCGTCGACTTTCTGCGCCGGGTCTGAAAAGAGAGAGTTATTTTACGAATGAACTCGGGAATTTTTGAACACGTTACCTTCTTCTCGATAAGTCGCAGATAATATAAGCACGAATTGTGTAAATTGTACAAATTGCAATCCGATTATAAAATTCTATTTTAAATCGTTTCCCGTTCATTTCACCTTTCAAAATAATTTTTTTTCCGCTTAAATATTTGTGTTGAATATATTAACGAATCTGCAAGAACGCGTCAAACATATTGCAGTCAGAGTGATTAACACTAGACAAAAATAGCTATAATTATGTATTTCCGTGGAATCACTAATAATCAATATATTATTCGATATTTTAAAATAAAATATCGCAAAATCACTAGTAATTTCATGAAAACGCCAATTACAATCACCATACACTATAAAATATGTAAAAAAATATATATGAGATGTATAAAGGATTCTGATAGAAATCTTCAGGCAGAAAGAAATCCGAAAGAGATCACGATGCAGATAAAAGCGGCCCTGCATGTTACTCGTGACAAGTGCATTTCTTCTGTCACATGCTGCCTCACTCTCTCAGTTCCTATATATATTTCTCCGTTTCAATATCCACTTCTCCTCTCACCAGTAACACACCGTCTCTGTCTCTCTCTCTGCTCCTCACTTTGTTCTCTCTTCGTCCTCCTCTTCGACGATGCGTAAGTGAACTCTCAGGGCCGTCAGGATGATGTCGTTCCGACGTAAACTCGATTTCATTCTTGCCAATCTCGATTTCTCAGGCGCGATTTATCGTCTCCGATGAAGTGTATACGTCGCGTTTGTTGGGCGAAAATCTCTCGCCGGGGAGGACGTCCAGTGCTCGCCGCTGCATGCCGTCCGCTAAATCTGCATCGTTTAGAACGATTATATTAAATATCTATGGGAAATTCGTCCTCAGTCGCAAGCGCAACGTCGGCACGCCGCAAATCTCTCCGCGCGCGCGGCCAGGTGAATGCGACCCTGGGACATGTGCCCCCGTGTGTTTGTCGCCGCCAAACTCGGCAATATTTAAATGGGATTGCGTTCGGGTGAATGTAATTGCTCGGGCTACTAGAGCAGCACTCCGCGTTGTCAGTCCGTTTTACGGGCATGTGGAGATGGAAGGAAAGGAGGGGGCGAATGATTAAAGTCTGCGCTTGAGAAGTGCGAGTGGATACGAGCGCGGTTGAACGAATTTGAAACACATTGTTCAGTTTTCGTTTCTTTACTTTATTTTTTCCGTGGAGACGTTTTTACGATCTTAAATCTGTATACCTATACGTGGTGAAGGAGAAAAGAATGAATCTCTCATTGACGATATACAAAATAGAAAAAAAGACCAAGTGAATTAAAAAAAAGTGTATAATAAAACTGAAAAAGTGCTTCGACGAACACATATATAGTACCAAATTTGTCAAAGAGAGATCTTTTTTTAAATTATTGAAATTTTGAAGCACTTTTGATATATCGCGGCATTGCTGCAATAGTGTCATATCTCGAAAACTTTTGAGTTATTCATTGGAAAAGATGGATTTTGGCGTGTGACTTTCATCTGGTGATGAATAACTCAAAATTGTCAATTTTCGAGGTATGACACTGTTGCAGCAATTCCGCGATATAGTGTGTCAATCGTGCTAATTAAATAATTGTAATTAATAGCACGCGACGAACAACGAGATAACGGGGAATGTATAGGTGGGAAAAATCGGCGCGTGTACATTACTTGAAACACTCGGGCTTCTCAATTTCTGGAAGATGAGACGGCGACAATGGAAACGCGCGAGGACACCCCCGTGTAAACGATGAAAGGACATCCTCTCTCTTCGGCAGAGAGAGAGAGAGAGAGAGAGAGAGGAGAGAGGAGGAGGAGAGAATGGCACATCGACATGGACGAGGGTGAACGGGACGAAGAGAGGGGCAAAATGCCGGGAGTGCGGCCTATAACGCAGGCAGACGGAGCCAATCAGGGCGCAATGCGATTACCTTAACGAGAAATCCGATTACTTATTCATTCGCCTAACTCGAAATCAGTTTAACTAATCGTTTAATTCGGTCGCTCTCGCTACCAGCCCCTCCGGCCCGGTCCCAGCCTTCGGATCTCTCCCCGGCCCTCGGAGAAGAGCTAGGAGCGTAGACGCCTGCCGCGCGGTACCGGCGACGAACGGGGATTACGGTGTCCCACCAGGGACGTAGCGAAAACCCCCGCGCGGCATCACCCGAGACGACATCCGCGGCGTGGCAAGAAGCGACGTGTACTGGAACTTCTAAAAGAAATCAGACTATTGTAGCCTTTTTTTTTATTTATATTGCACAATGCTTGGTCGCGACCAAGATAATTATATCTGTTATTTGCGAGATCAGACAACTTCTGTCAGTGCGATAAACGTAATATATAAGATTATTACCGATACTTTTAATCTATTTAACAATTTCTTTTAGATGGTTTTACTGCTTGTTGCCAGACAATGAGTCAAAATTAATTACTCGCGGATTCCAGAAAAAGGATTTTTCCACAGTTCTGAGTCGCGTCTTTCGACGCAAATTGAAAAAAAAAAGAACATCCTCGATATACATTGCGCGATTCTGTTCTCACCTTCGAGAACCACACCTTCGCACACAAGATTTATACCGACTTACCGTCGGCTTCCGGGGGGCCCTTTCCGGTCCTTAATCCACCTCTGAATCCCCCAGTCCATTCCCTCGGGCTCGCGTAGATAGGACCACGCACACGCGTGCCCGGAGCATTCGCACGCGTACACGTTCACAAAGCTTCGAACGCTTCGGAAGGGGGCGCAGGGCGACGCGGGGGGGAGCGAAGGAGAGGGCTCATTCAATTCAATTACGTAATGAATTGTCGTGTCTTGAGTAAACACCCTTCCTCGCCGCGACTTGCCGGCGGAAAATCCAGGGCGGTATCCACCGGCACCCTCCTATCTACTTCTCTCTTTCCAGCTCCCTCTGATTTCCAGCGGGAGGGAGGGTCTCGGGCGGGCGGGATAGCGCCTAGCGGTTTAGGTAAACCAAATCAATCTGGCACCGCGGCTGTACGAAATCCCCCTCGATGCACCTTTCGCATGCGTGTGCGCGCGATAGCCGAGCTGTGTGCAAGCTAGAGTAAATCCGCGAATTTCCGCGTGCGTCGGGCGACCGTCCTTTTACGTGCAGCCGGCAGCGCGCGCGCGCGCGCGAAAGCGCAAACGTGCACGCGCCCGTAAATGTAAACACGCGTGCGATAATGCGTGATTACGCGTGAAGACTCGATTCCGCCTCGGTCGCGCGCGCGCGCGCGCGGGCAATCAGGAGTGTCCTCAAAATAGCGGATCCCGCCGGGTTCTGACGAAGCCAAGCTCGTGTTCAATCATTTCGGAATCGATCTTCCATAGCTCTCCCTCCGAATACATAGATCGCCTTCCCGATCGTGAAGAGTATAGAGAATCGAAAATCGAAAACCTATATTTTCGCGAAACCGACAGGACGGCATTAATTAAAATATTATTTTCGTAATATAATGGGATATTTCTCAATGTATCATACTTACACCATTACAACAATGACTGATGATTAACTATAAATTTTTTTGTGGGATTCGCCAATGTCCCCGCCAGGTTCTGACGAAGGCTCGCGTTCAATCATTTCGGAATCGATCTTCTATAATAGCTCTCCCTCCGAATACATAGATCGCCTACACGGCTTCCCGATCGTGAAGAGCATAGAGGATCGAAAATCGAAAACCTATTTTCGCAAAAACCGACAGGACGGCATTAATTAAAATATTATTTTCGCAATATAATGGGATATTTCTCAATGTATCATACTTACACCATTACAACAATGACTGATGATTAACTATAAATTTTTTTGTGGGATTCGCCAATGTCCCCGCCAGGTTCTGACGAAGGCTCGCGTCCAATCATTTCGGAATCGATCTTCTATAGCTCTCCCTCCGAATACATAGATCGCCTACACGGCTTCCCGATCGTGAAGAGTATAGAGAATCGAAAATCGAAAACCTATATTTTCGCGAAACCGACAGGACGGCATTAATTAAAATATTATTTTCGCAATATAATGGGATATTTCTCAATGTATCATACTTACACCATTACAATGACTGATGATTAACTGAATTTTTTGGGGGATTCGCCAATGACTGATGATTAACTATAAATTTTTTTTGTGGGATTCGCCAATGTCCCCGCCAGGTTCTGACGAAGGCTCGCGTTCAATCATTTCGGAATCGATCTTCTATAGCTCTCCCTCCGAATACATAGATCGCCTACACGGCTTCCCGATCGTGAAGAGTATAGACTATAGAGGATCGAAAATCGTGAACCTATTTTCGCGAAAACCGAAAGAACGGCATTAATTAGAATATTATTTTTGTAATAATGGGATATTTCTCAATTGTATCATACTTACACCATTACAATGACTGATGATTAATTAAATTTTTTGGGGGATTCGTTAATGACTGATGATTAATTATAAATTTTTTTTGTGGGAATCGATCTTCTATAGTTCTACCTCCGAATACATAGATCGTCCACGGCTTCCCGATCGTGAAGAGCACAGAGGATCGAAAATCGAAAACCTATTTTCGCGAAACCAACAGGACGGCATTAATTAAAATATTATTTTTGTAATAATGGGATATTTCTCAATTGTATCATATACTTACACCATTACAACAATGACTGATGATTAACTGAATTTTGGGGGGGATTCGCCAATGTCCCCGCCTGGACATGACATTCTTGCACAATTCGGACGGGAATAATTTCAACTCCTGATTATTTAATTTATCATTCGAACCGAAGAGAGCCTTAGTGATCTACATTTAACGGCGCTAAATATATCTCCTCTCGTCTCCCGTTCGCAAGAGCGGATCGCGGGTAATTCTGGGTGTGTTCCCCCCAAATTAACGGCCGACGACGACGACGTTGCTCGATTGGCGGATAGATTAATTCGCCGTGGTGGATCTGCACACGACCGTCGGACTAACTCAAAGGAGGCCTGCAGATCGGCGAGTGACGCTAC